CCGCCCCCCCCCCCTCCCCCCTTTCTGCCGCGTTTTTTTTTTATTATTGTCAGATCTACGCGGTTCGATCTCTTCGGACGGTCACCCTGGTGAGCGAGTTCCCGTTCCGGAAGATTCAGATCGTGCTGAGGCTGTACAAGACCCTGGCGGAGGTTCTTCACGGGTTCGACGTGGACGCCTGCAGTGTCGGCTTCGACGGCCACACGGTGAGAGTAGAAAACTAACAACAGCAGAGGTCCCTGCTTTGTGCCGGTTGAATAGTAGTGCGGTTTCCCGGTACAGCGCCGGTGTTTTCGGCGGGCACACACTTGAGTTTCCAAGTAATTGTCAATACCTCGATTAGTGCCGGTCCGGCATCGTGCCCGTGAATTTTCTTGGCACGGATCGGCACTATACAGGGACCTCAACTGTATCGTCGTTTTCGTGTTGGGGTAGTGGGGTTCCGTGCTTTGCCCCCGTTATTTGTTGTGCGGTGGCGGTGATGTTGTTGATGTTGTTGATGTTGTTGCTGTTGGTGTTGGTGTTTGCGATAGTAAATACTGGTAGTGTTTGTGGCGGTGCTGTTGACGGTGGTGGTATTGTGGATGGTGTTGTTGGTGGTGGAAGTGTTGGCGTCGTCACTCCGCAAAGGTGGTGACATTGTGCTGTCGATGGTGGCAGTCTGAGCAACAACAAAAAAAAGAGGAAAACCTTTCCGAACCGAACTTTTTTCGAAGGACGCCAACCTGCCCCATGTACACATATACCTGTGCGCAACTTTAGCTCGAACGGCGATGCCGACGATTATTCTCATCCTACACGACTCTCCGCCCCCCCCCCATTTCAACCCCCGACGACGGATGTGCGCCAGGTGTGGGCCACGAACCGCGCCGCGCGGGCCATCTGCAAGCGCTACAACCTGGTGGATGTCTCTCGCCGCAGCCCTTCCTACGAGAGCCGGCTGTTCAAGTACGGCAAGAGAGGGTGAGTGACTGCTCTCTCATGCTTCGTGATTGCACACCGCAGCAGTTGCACGGCTTGCTGATGGCGCGAGGAGGTTGGCTAGGGCGGTCTCCGTGTTGTCAGCGGGTGGCGTTCTCCCATTGCACTGGCGTTACCCTCGACAGCTGCCCCCCTCCACAGCTGCGCCAGCGGTGGCAAGGGTTTGAGTAGTCTTGCACCCTGTTGTGTGATACACCCTCGGACGTGTGGTGGCTAATAACAAGCCCATTCGAGGACTCCATAGGGCGACCGGCCAGACTTGAGCTGAAATTACAGGCCTAAGTAGGCATTTGTCGTGTGCCTGGGATAAATACTTCGGTGTTCGAGCGTTACCCGAAGTAAGAATTGCGAGGGGAAACAAAGGATGTGAATAACGACGAAGGAAACCGCCAGAGAAAAGAAAAGACACAGCCACCATTCACTGCTTTTGTGGATTGGAGGCTCCGGCTACCAGGAAACATACTCTCCAGGCCATGGCTAAGCTTGCCTTCGGAAGGTTGAGGTTGCGGTTGCTGCTGTAGGGGTTGGATGTGTGGTAAAAAAGAGAAAGCGAGAAAAAAAAAGTACACGCGGTGGGAGTCGAACCCACGAACCCGAAGGACCGGAACTTGAACCCGACGCATTTGACCACTCTGCAACACGTGTTGATGTTGTTAAAAGCGTACAAACTGCTCCAATACTGTTGGTGTTTTTTTTTGTAGAGTTGGGTTCCAGGGGTTGCTGCAGGCTGCCTGCCCCCTTCAGCGGGTCATCTGCTGCACTTTGCTGGGCGTGAGAAAAGGGGTGTTGCGTGTGCTGGCATGAGTTGATACCGGCTCCCGCGGGAGCGAGTAACAGCACCAGAGTAGCATGGCCGCCACCACCCCAAGTTGTCGGTTGTCACAGGCGACAGCAACCACCAGCAGCGGAAATATTCACCGTGACCATTTTGCTTTCTACCTCCACCGCTGCCGCCTTAGACAAGGGAGGGTTTTTGGAATCCAAATATAGAACGACGATCAGTTATTTCTTCAGCAGACATTAACAACACTCAACTCACTGATGTCACCGCCAGTACCAGCACGGTAGACTTGCACCAATAACACGGTCGAAGTCACTTATCTCGAAACCTTCTTTTGTTGGTTGCGTTGCCATGGTCTTCCTTCCTTGGGGCAGGCACTCGGTATTGGTGAGGGGCCTGCAGGTGGACAAGATCAAGCCTTCGCTCCGCAAGGCCACCGTCACCTCCGGCTCGGCGAGCTACGAGAGGGGGCTGGCCAAGGTACAGTGCCGGCCTGCTCATAAGAAACACCTATTTTTGAGCGAGAGGGACATTTCGTCTCCACCACTGAACACAGGCCTCTAAAATACTTCCAATTATTGTAGCGCCGGCCGCTGTGCTCAATTTCTTCGGGGTATTTTTCTTAAGTTTGTCCAAAACCTGAGCGTCGGTGTCTTACCAACATATTTCGCACGAGCGGGTCGGCGCTGCTGTACTACAGAAGTGCGGTACACGCGCACTCCAAAGAACCTCGCGATCAAAGCGAACGCTCACAAGGCTTCGAAGCAAAAACTGGCAGTGATCTCTCTGCGATTCATACTCTCTGACACACCGAATGAGGTCTCGTGATTCCATTATCATATTTGGTCCAAGTTTGGATACATCCGTTCTGATGCAAGCTGGGCCAGGCGTAAAGCTCACTTTCGTTCGTTCGAGTCTCATTCTGTCGTTTCCACGAAATTGGGCTTGAATTTTTTTGGCTGCTCTCATGAGACAGTATGGGAAGCGCAGGTTCCAGAGTTGTTCGAATCTGAGTTGATTAAGGTACTAAACCATCAGTTGGCGGCGGAGGGGGGGATGCTTCCGGTGCTGAAATCAGCATAAAGAAAGTTACACCGAATAAGCTGAAACTTGGTGTGCACTTACCTGGGAGCAGTGCGAGAAAAATGATGATTGTTACAAGGCTCAAATCGTCTTCTACCAAGAGATATGGCCTCGTACAGAATCCGACACAACACACAAGATAGCAAAGGAAATGTGAGGTTATCGCAATTACATCACGACTTTTACGAGTTGGAATCTGAAGTTTTGACATGTGGTCGGTATTAGTACAACCAAGACCTTGACTGGAAGCACTTTTTTTTTTTAGCCCCCCTATGCACAAAAAAAGGATCACCATTTGTCCTATAATAGGGCTACCTCGTGAAAAAAAAAAAAGGTGCTTCCAGTCAAGGTCTTGGTTGTACTAGAACCGACCACATGTCAAAATTTCAGGTTCTAATTCGTAGAAATCGTGGTGTAAATCGTTATCAACCATTNAGCCCCCCTATGCACAAAAAAAGGATCACCATTTGTCCTATAATAGGGCTACCTCGTGAAAAAAAAAAAAGGTGCTTCCAGTCAAGGTCTTGGTTGTACTAGAACCGACCACATGTCAAAATTTCAGGTTCTAATTCGTAGAAATCGTGGTGTAAATCGTTATCAACCATTTTGCATGCATCTTGGCTGGCCCAGCTTGTAGCTTCTTTTTTTACTACCGACCAAGCTTTTGGGAGCGGGCAGGGCTTGGGCTTTCAGCAGTAGTCGCCGTTGTTTGTTGCCTTGCAATGTTTTTAGAGCGGTAGACTAGTCTATATGACATGTGTTACTGTCGTACTCCGTGTTACCTATCTCGAGTAGTGGTGTTTTTTCTATTCAGGTACCGAACGGATTAGTTCGTTTCTTGGACTTGTGCGAGCGACGAGTCTTCACGCTTCTCTGCTCACGCTTCGTTGTTTCTCTCCGTCGTTATTACTGCTGGTGCTGATGGTGCTGTTGTTGGCATTGTCCTCACGCTTTGTACGATTCTCTCTCTCTCTCTCTCTCTCTCTCTCTCTCTCTCTCTCTTCTCTGCCTGTCTCTCTCCCTCTCTCTCTCTCGCTCTCTTTCTCGCTTTCTCTCTTCTGTCTTTCTCTCTCTCTCTTTCTTTCTCTGCTGCTGCTGTACTGGGATGGTTGTCATCTTCGGCGCGACTGCTGCCACGACTGCTGTCGACAGCTCATCGCGTTGGACTCGTGCTACCAGCGATTCCACCTCAACAACTGGGGACACTTCTACCAGGTGCATACACGCCACCGTATTTCACGGAATCATGTACCGTATTTCATGGGAAGTACCGTGTTCCACGGGAGCTATACCCGTGGGCACCAAGTACATAGCAGTATACTGCTGCCCCTGAGGAACTGGGGCACTTCTACCAGCCACATACACGCCAGCGTATTGCACGGAATCATGTACCGTATTTCACGGGATGTACCATGTTCCACGGAATCTTTGTCCGTGGGCACGAATTACATAGCAGTATACTGCTGCTCCTCAGGGGTGTTGCTCAATTCATGGGGAATAATACCACAGAGCGCGCGGGATGTACCGCGGCAGGCGACACGTAGACGGTATCGAGAGGGCACGAGTCGTATCTGCCGCAAAAAAATATTTTTACTTGTCCCACGAAATGTCGCTTGCTCATGTACACAAGCCAGTGATGGCGGGCAGCGGTTTTGACAGTCCTAGGAGGGGGTGGGTTGGGATGTTGTCGCGGTTTTCCTGTTCTTGCTTGCATGCACGGTGCCAGAAACTAGGGGGGTGCACGTTATTATGCGGGGTACATATCGCCCTCCCGCTCACCATCACGTGTTGACGAGTGCGTTTTATGTTGGTCGCGCGCGCGCGCCGATGCATTAGCTCTAGCCAAAGCTCAAATGAAGGAGTAGGTAGCGCGTGAGCCGCTTCGATATTCCATTTTCGTGTTGTTCTCCGGTTGATGTTTGTTCCACCCAATCAGAGGGTATGTTGGTCGGAGGCGTTTTTCTCCCCTCCTCAACAACCCACTCGTTCTCGGGCAAGAGCTTCCACGGCCCGAAGTCTCCCAAGCCCCGAAACCCAGCGTGTGATGTATTCTCTCTATATTCTCTCTGGTTGTGTCTTGGAGGGCTTGTTGTACTATACGGGCGGGAAGTTCTACCATCTATTCTACCCCCCGGGCACGCCCGGTACGCGGTGCGTGGCCTTGTCGTCTAGTCTTGGACGTGCTGTGGTTGTAGAGATGGCCGAGACATCGAAGGGTGGCCTTGGATGATGTTTTCCTTACCGTGACCCTCCCCCCCCCCCGGCTGCCACCTTCCCATGTACTGTATGCATGCACCCCAATGGTCGTGGTTTGGACCCCAGCGGTGGAACGAGGGTCTCCTGGCGTACCACAACGGCGTCACCGAGTCGCAGCGCATACACAACCAAGAGGTGAGCATCCCAAACAATCAACAAACGAAATCATGAAACATGTTCAGAATACTTTTTATTGAGTTTTTGTTGTGTCTGGAGCATACAGTAGTATTTTGTTCCGAGGAAATAATTTGGAGATGTATGTATCCAATTGTTGGAAGGTTTCGATAGGGGGAAAAGGCAAGGCGTTCGACGAGCACGACGGTAACAAACTTGTGGCTTCGGGACGCTACACCTACAGCACTTTTTTGTTGTGCTTTTGATTTGCATTTCTTGCTCGGTGTCGTGCCGGCGTCGATTTCTCGTCGTTTCGGCGTATGTATGCTTTTGATGACCCCAAGTACATTCTTTGAGATTTCGGGCCCCATGCCTCCTTTTATTTTTCTGGGTTGCCGAGCTAGGTTGGCCGGAGGCCAAGAAAGCCGCGGGGGAGTCGTTGTGCAGCCGGTAAACACTACTGATACAAGTGTAATTGTCACTTAAATGACTCCTTGTTTGTGAGCCCAGATATTTCCGTTAAAGAAATGGAGCCCCGTGAGCACCTCTGTCGCTCTCCTCCCCCCCCCCCCCCCCCCCCCCCCCCCCCCCCCCCCCC